CACATGCTGGATCAGTCACTTCATCCAAGGCAGTGACATAACCCAGCCCCAAGTCAGTCCTCAGGGGCTTCCAGCTGTTTTCTTTGTGGAGTGGAAGTTTGGGCTTTTCCCCTCCCTAGATTTCTCCTTGCTGCTCTGAGGAGCTCTCAGCTGTTCCCTCTGGACCTGAGACAGCTACTCAAAATATGCATATTTATTGTTCTGCTGCTGCTGGCTCATCCCCGGCCCCTGGCTTGTTCCTGGTGTCTTGCTTCTCAACCTGTGACTCTGGAGGAATCAGATACTGGACCTCCTCTGTGCTGATGGCTACTTTATCTGGCTGGAGCCACCTCTTGAAATGTTCCAAGGTGCTAAAAGAGAGCAGAAGAAAAGGGTGGCTATATCAGACCTCACTGATTAATTACTTAATGGTTATCTCAGTTACTCAAATACTGCCTTCCCGCCCACCACCAATTTCTTCCTACAGTTGTTTTTCACTGCTAACATGGGGAGTACAAGGATACTCCTCTGACAGCTGTGCATCCTGGCAGCTTAGAGGCATAATTTACCCCCTAGTGGGTACTTTGGCTCTGAGCAGAACAGGCTCCCTTCAAATGCAGAGCTTCTGAAGGCTTAATAAGAATAGCTGAAGATTTTATGCCTCAGTCCTATCTATTTTCCTCAAAACTGGAGAGGAGAGAAATTATTATAGGGAGGAGACACTCAAATAAATGCCAAATTATTAGAAAGGCAAAAATGTGAGCATCTTAAGCCTCCTATACCTGAGGCAGTGTGGAGCTCAATTATACTTGTAGCACTTACTTATACTAAGTGTGATTTTTAAAAATCTTTTTTGTGGATTTGTTTATTTCATCCTATAGCAAGCCCCCAAGATAAAAACATCCCAGCAGCAAATGTTCCCCACAAGAAAACAGTCACTATACCAGAGGACTCTCTTTGTTTTTGGATGGATAGAGATGGGGGAGGTGTCAAGCTCATGGTCTCTCTCCCACCTCCCTTAAGCATCCAGTATCCTTCTGGGTTTAGGACTCAATTACTACTCATACTTTACCTTACAAACACAAATAATTCATATGAGGGTAAATCTGATCACACACCCTCATATAAATCTGAAAAAAAATGCTATTAATTCAAAAATACTATTTCATATCTATAATTTAGGGAAATCTAATCTATTCAAACTATAGTTTATTTATTCCTCATGATTCAAAATCTAAGTAAAATTAAACTTCCAATTATAAAGTAGATATGTGGTTTGAGGTTTAATTGAAAGACAAAATAGACAATTAATCCTAGGAAGCCAGGAGCTTAAATTATTCCTGTGATAGCTTAATGAAAATGCTATTTTGGGACAGATGCAGTGGCTCACACCTGTAATCCTAGCACTCTGGGAGGCCAAGGTGTGTGGATCACTTGAGCTCATGCGTTTAGGACCAGCCTGAGCAAAAAGTGAGACCCCATCTCTACTAAAAATAGAAAAACTGAGGCAAGAGGATTGCTTGAGCCCGAGTTGGAGGTTGCTATGAGCTATAACGCCACGGCACTCCATTCAGGGCAACAGCTTGAGTCTCTGTCTCTAAACAAAAGAAAAGAAAATCCTATTTTGACTCGGTGCCCCTAGCTCAGTGGTTAGGGCACCAGCCACATACAAGGGGGCTGGCGGGTTGGAACAACGACAACTGCAACAAAAAAATAGCCAGGCATTGTTGTGGGTGCCTGTAGTCCCAGCTACATGGGAATCAGAGGCAAGAGAATCGCTTAAGCCCAAGAGTTTGAGGTTGCTGTGAGCTGTGACACCACGGCACTCTACTGAAGGCAACATAATGAGACTCTGTCTCAGGAAAAAAAAATCCTATTTTGTACAATATACTACATCATACATGTATTTCTTTTTAGTAAATTGTCATTTTTCTGGCTATTATGCCTCTGGGCAAAAGTGATTTCAACTTGTGTTCTTCCCAGGTCCTTGGCAACCATTTTAAATTATTTGATTTGTATTAAAAAAAAAAAAGTATCTAAGACCCTCTACCCTAAAGCTATTAGACATTCATAGATATATAAATGACTAGAGATAATGTGAACCCCATTCTATGTTCTTCAACAGCACAAAGTCTTAAGCTAAGAAATAAAGTCAGAGCACCAGATGTTAGACACATGTCAATGTATGGAGGAATTATGTTTTGGATAGTTGGATTTCTCAGACCATCACTCTCTTGCCATAAGCATACCACAAGGAGGACCACCTGTCTGGCCCTCACATGTGTGAAAACCCACACAAATCCACTGCAAAATGGCCTCTGTGTAAAACATAAACTTTTGACGTTTGAAAACAAACACACAGCTACTATTTCCTTGTGCTGTTCTAAACAATGATAGAAGTGTTCCCACAGATGTGGGATCAGGGGAAAAACTCAAACATCAAAGGGCAGCAGAAGCACCTGATTGGTCCCAGTACCCACAGACAGGGGAACCAGGTATGACCTGCCATTTAATCTTCATCTACCACACTTTTCATAAAATTGTTCAAATTATTCCTATAAAGCAAGGGAAAGCACATCATTTTATGTATTGCTAAATACCCAGAAACATGCTGAACTGATTTCAGAGACAGAAAATTTCTACTTGAGAGTTACACAAGAGAAAATTTTTTTCTTAGAACTGAAGAGGAAGGAAATATTCAAGGGGAAAGAGAATATACGTAAGTACCAAATCACTGGCTGGGAGCAGTGGCTCTCATCTGTATTCTCAACACTTTCTGAGGTCAAGGCAGAGGATCACTTGAGGCCAGAAGTTCGAGGCCAACCTGGGCAACAGAGAGAAACCCCACCTCTACAAAATATAGAAAAATTAGCTGGGGATGGTGGCATGCACATATATTCCTGGCTACTCTGGAGACTGAGGCAGAAGGATCAGTTAAACCCAGGAATTCAAGGCTGCAGTTTCACTGTGATTGTCTACTGCACTTTAGCTTGGGGAACCAAACGAGACCCTTATCTCTCTTAAAAAAATAAAAAATTAAAAATAAAATTAAAAATAAAATACGCAAAAAGCCTCAATTAGGTTGAGACCTTTAGAAAAAGAAAACAGCAAAATTTGTATTATTTACTGAATCCTCCAGAGAGCTGTTGGCTTGACCTTAGATGCTACACTGATTTCTAAAGGATCAGGATCATACTGATCCAGTATTTGAGATAGGATAACTGAAAGTATTTTGCAAATTAAAAAGTAAAATTTAGGTATGATGTTTTATTCACTTGCTGTCTGTGATTTCAGCAACAGCATCTTCATCTAATATGATGGGACTCTCAAAACCAATGTTAGTGATACGTTGCAAACTTAGGTTAGATCATGTTTCCCTAAGACCTTTTGTTGTAAAATTCAGCTTTTTATTCCCCTCAGCAAATTTTATTTTATTTTTATTTATTTTGAGGCAGAGCCTCAAGCTGTCACCCTGGGTACAGTGCTGTGGCATCACGGCTCACAGCAACCTCCAACTCCTGGGCTCAAGAGAGTCTTCTGCCTCCACCTCCCAAGTAGCTGAGACTATAGGTGCCCACCACAACGCCTGGCTATTTTTTGGTTGCAGCCATCATTGTTGGCTGCAATTGTTGTCGAATCCGGGCTGGATTCGAAATCACCAGCTCAGATGTATGTGGCTGGCGCCAGAGCCGCTTGAGGCCACAGGTGCCGAGCTGCAAATTTTATTTTGAATAATTTCTTTTTTTTTTTTTTAGACCAAGTCTTGCTCTGTCACCCAGGCTAAAGTGCAGTGGTGTCATCATACTTCACCTCAAATTCTTTCTTTCTTTTCATTTTTGCATATGTTTATTGGCCATTAGTCTATCTTCTTTTTTCCACCTCAAACTCTTAGACTAAGTGATCTTCCTGCTTCAGGCTCCTGAGTAGCTGGGACTACAGGTGCATACTATGCCTGGGTAATTTTTCCATTTTTTTTTTGTAAAGAGGGGGACTCTCTCTTGCTCAGGTCTTCAAATCCTGGCCTCAAGCAATCCTCCCACCTTGGCATTCCAGAGTGCTAAGACTACAGGTGTGAGCGACTATGCTCAGATGGTTTTGAACAATTTCTTCCTGAACTTTAAAATTCTGTTAGGAAGGAGAAAATTAATAATAGCTAATATACATAGTGTTCACCATGCACCAGATAACTATTCTATACCTGTTACAAATAGTAACTCATTTAACTTCATGATAACTTAGAGTAAAACTATTACTCCCATTTCACAAAAAAGGGAAACTGAGCTACATACAGGTTACTCACCCAGGAACAAACAACCACTAAGTAGAAGAGTTAATTTCCCAAGTATTGAGCACCATCCTGGTTACTGTGGCAAAATGCTCTCTCCACTTTCTGCATCCAAACCACCTTCAAGTTCTATTCAAGTCCTGCCTCCTTCCCTGGCAAACCACCAGAGCCAGTAGGGAGCTCAATAGTCTCTCAGCTCCCAAAGCATATTCTGTCATTTCCACTCAGCTGGCTCTTCTCTTATGCTACCTGATATTGCTAGGTATGTCTTTATATATATTTGTCATCTGTCCCCAGCTTATTCCAAAGACACACAAAAAAATGGATCTAATACTTCCTTCCTCCCCATGACACCCAGCACATTGCTATCACACAGCAGATGCTTAATAAATTCATTCATTTAGTCTACATAATCTTACTGAGAAGCAAAAATACGATAGAAACTCTGTAACGCACTGGAAATTCAGAGGTAAGAAGACATACTTGCAGTTGTTGATTGATTACTACTTTCTCAAATGAGGAACACTTAAAAATGAAGGTAATGGTTCATCCTCAACTTTATTCAATCTGAGATCAAGATGTAGCTGGGCTATTTACCTTTTGGCAAACAAACAAGACAAAAAAAGAAAAAACTCAAAGTAGCTCACACCTATAATCTTAGTACTTTGGGAGGCTGAAGTGGAAGGATTGCTTGAGGTCAAGAGTTCAAGACCAGGCTCGGCGCCTGTGGCTCAAGCAGCTAAGGCGCCAGCCACATACACCTAAGGTGGTGGGTTCGAATCCCCAGCCCGGCCCCGCCAAACAACAATGATGGCTGCAACCAAAAAAAATGGCCAGGCATTGTGGTGGGCGCCTATAGTCCTAGCTACTTAGGAGGCTGAGGCAGGAGACTCGCTTGAGCCCAGGAGTTGGAGGTTGCTGTGAGCGTGATGTCATGGCACTCTACCCAGGGGGATAGCTTGAGGCTCCGTCTCAAAAAAAAAAAGAGTTCAAGACCAGCCTAGGCAACATAGTGAGCCTCCACCACTATAAAAAATTAGCTGAATGTGTTACATATGCCTATAGTCTCAGCTACTTAGAAGGCTGAAGCAGGAGGATCACGGAAGCCCAAAAGTTTGAGGTTGCAATGAGCTATAATCATTCTACTGTACTCTAGCCTGGGCAATAGAGCAAGACTCTATCTAAAAACAAAACAAAACAAAACAAAACAAAAAAACCCAACTCATTCTCAAAAATTTGCTACTGGACTAAGGACAAAAAGAACAACCTTATAAAGGCTGATTTCTGCTCAGAAGAGCTGATGCTAGTGTCAACTCAGATGTCACTATTCCTAAATTCCTTTTATTTTTTTTGTAGAGACAGAGTCTCACTTTATCACTCCTAGTAGAGTGCCTCGGCGTCACACAGCTCACAGCAACCTCCAACTCCTGGGCTTAAGCGATTCTCTTCTCTCAGCCTCCCGAGTAGCTGGACTACAGGCGCCCACCAGAACGCCCAGCTATTTTTGTTGTTGTTGTTGACGTTGTTGCAGTTTGGCTGGGGCCGGGTTCGAACCCGTCATGCTCGGTATATGGGGCCGGCACCCTACCCACTGAGCCACAGGTGCCGCTCACTATTCCTAAGTTCTTCAGAGAAAGAGAAATGCTCTCAGGCCAGGTGTGGAGGCTCATGCCTGTAATCCTAGCACTCTGGGAGGGTGAGGTGGGCAGACTGCCCTGAGCTCACAGGTTCGAGACCAGCCTGAGCAAGAGCAAGACACTGTCTCTAAAAATAGGCGTGGGTGGCACCTGTGGCTCAAGGAGTAGGGCACCAGCCCCATATACTGGAGGTGGTGGCCAAAAACTGAAAAAATAAAAATAAAAAAGTCAAGCATTGTGGCAGGCTCCTGTAGTCCCAAGTACTCAGGAGGCTGAGGCAAAAGAATTGCTTATGCCCCAGAGTTTGAGGTTGATGTGAGCTATGATGCCATGGCACTCTACTGAGGGTGACAAAGTGAAACTCTGTTTTTAAAAAAAAAAAAAGAAAGAAAGAGGAGTGCTGTCAATGAAATAGACTGTCAACTAGAACTGAGAATCAATTACCTCTCATCAGAATCGAGTCCATCCACAAAGAACTCTGAAGCTAACTTCTCCTGAAGGAATCGATCCCAGCATTCCTTCTTGGCTTGGGCCAGGGTCCGAAGCATGTCCTTGGAAGTCACTTCCTGATTTAAACCCCTGATCCTTCTCAGTTTCTTCTCTACAGAGAGAGAAGTAAAACTTAACAAGAAAAGCATGACACAAAATTTTAAATCTAAAACGCAAAATGCCACTTAAAAATTCTGTCACTGATGAGTGTATCCACATTCCCTACAGAAGAACTCATTTTTTAAGTACAGATAAAAGAAGACTGAACATTCTTGTTTCTTCTTCACAATGTCTTGAATTGTATCAAATAAATGTTTAACCCCAGAAAAGGGAAAAGCCATAAGTTCTCATAAATAAATCAATGGCATGTTTTCTTTCAAATCACATAAGCCCAGCAGGTATCCTCTAAGGAATGCTTGTTTTCCCTAGCTTGACATGTGTACACTATTGCCTTTTGTCAAATTCTTGAAAACAATCTCTCCGAGGAGTAAACAGTTTTTCTTTCTGTTACAGTGACATGAAGTGGTTTCTAAACCTCATGAGAAAGAACTAGAGAAAATGATCTAAAGGTTCATTAGACACGAAAATTGACTTGATGAAAATTCAATACTAAGAGACCTTTAAGATCTCTATATGTGATTAAATTCTTGATTAAAGAAAAATAATCTCCCAACATATTTTAAAGTTATAAAATTTGTGACCTGGATGTTGGAAACTAATAAAAACAAACATCTTGTAATCCCTTGAGAGAGGTCCATATGGCTTCTTGATGATAGATGCTTAATTACTCTTCTTCACATTTTAAGTATAATTGTTGAACAGATTCCCCCTTTTGAAGAATAGAAGAAAAGACATCACCATTTACCTTTTGCTTTAATTTAGACTTCCCTTCAACTAAAAATACATCAGTAAATGATGACTTTTGTGGAGGGGGTGAACATTAAACTCAGAACCAATAAAACTATGATTTGAAATCTTGTTTTCATTTCTAAAAAAATCACATCAGCTAATATCCACTGATCAAAACACCTTTTGGTAAGTTACCACCAAGCACTCACCCATGTAAAAAAATCTATAGCTGATAACATCTGTGAGGTTTTGTTTTCTCCTTGAGGATCTAAAAAGGGTTATGCTTATCATACATTTTACTGGCTGTTTTTTTTTTTTTTTGGCTGGGGCTAGGTTTGAACCCGCCACCTCCAGCATATGGGACTGGCACCCTACCCTTTTGAGCCATAGGTGCTACCCTTTACTGGCTGTTTTTAATTGTTGCTCTTATCATGGATTCTCCTTAATCGAGGTTTATTTGGCAATAAAAACAATCTTCATATTGTCTGGCCTTGGTTGTCAAGGTTGAAGGTACTCTTTTGCACTGGAAAATGTCTTTTCCTCTCTGAATGTGCTGAGTCTCTGACCAGATGTGATCTCACAGTGCAAGCAGAAACAGGCATTAACACATATCTAAACCTGACTCTCAGTCCCTGCCATAGGTAATAGAAATGGCTCTTACTTCCTCACAGAACAAAATCTTAATTATTTTCTCTCTCTCTCTCTCTTTTTGTTTGTTTATGACAGAGTCTCTGTAGTCCAGGCTTGAGTGCCATGGCATTGGCCTAGCTCACTGCAACCTCAAACTCCTGGGTTCAAGTGATCTTCCTGCCTTAGCCTCTTAAGTACCTGGGACTATAGGTATGTGCCACCAAACCTGCCTACTTTTTTGCCCACACTGCCCCAAGAGTTTGAGATTGCAGTGAACTGTGATTATTTGAGCAACAGAGCGATAGCCTGTGTCTAAATAAATAAATAAAGTGGCTATGAGAGACAGAATGAATCTTACGTCAATATGCTCCCATTCCCAACAATCAATCTATTTAATATAATAGTTTTTCAAACTCTGGCATCAAAATCCCCATGTAGTACCAGGGCCATGACCTTTTCTTGCAGGATGGCATAGGTTTACCATTTAAGTTATGTGATATACGGGCAACCAATAGTAGGCCAGATGGTTCTACAGAATGCAAAGAAATAAAACAGAATTTAGATGAAATGGACAGAGGCAAGAGGTGACAAAACTGTTTTAAGGGATGTTCAAGGACAGAGGGGTTGTTTTCCCAACAGCTAGCCTGAAACACCCCTAGAATTATATCTGATGGCCAGGCAAGGTGGCTCATGCCTGTATACTTCCTAGCACTCTGGGAAGCTAAGGCATGAGGATTGCTTGATCTCAGAAGTCCAAAAAGAGTCTGAGCAAGAACAAGACCTCATCATTACTAAAAACAAAAAAATTAGCTAGGCATGGTGGCAGGCACCTATAGTCCCAGCTACTTAGGAGGCTGAGACAGGAGGAACCTTTGAATCCAGGAGTTTGAGGTTGCTGTGATTGAGACTGATGCCAAGGCAGTCTAGCCAAGTAACAGAGTGAGAGAGACTCTGTCTCAAAAAAATAAAAGGCTTGGTGCCTGTAACTCAAAGAGTAGGGTGTCAGCCACATACACTGAAGCTGGTAGGTTCAAGCCTGGCCCATGCCTGCTAACTAACAATGACAACTGCAACCAAAAAATAGCCAGGCACTGTGGTGGACGCCTGTAGTCTCAGCTACTCAGGAGGCTGAGGCAAGAGAATGGCTTAAGCCCAAGTCTTTGAGGTTGCTATGAGCAGTAACACCACGGCACTCTACCGAGGGCAACATAATGAGACTCTGTTTCAAAAAAAAAGAAAGAAAGAAAAGAATTATATCTGATGAACACTTGTGGTAAGGAAAAAAAAAATAGGCCAATAGGAAATCAAGTCTGGGCTCGGCGCCTATAGCTCAACTGGCTAAAGCGCCAGCCATGTACACCTAAGGTGGCAGGTTCGAATCCCCAGCCCGGACCCGCCAAACAACAATGACAGCTGCAACCAAAAAATAGCCGGGCGTTGTGGC